CAATTAGTAGGCGGATTCCCAGGAAAATTTGTATCATCAAGTATTAGTCAAAACATATTCTTTCACACGATTGGTGATAAGAGCTTCCATTTCATTTTTTGAGAGGGGGGCGTTTCCAAAACTGGTCTATACCTTCAAAATCAAGTAAACTGAACAATAACACATATTGTCCAGTATTGTCCAAAATGTTATTGAGTATTGGTAGTAGTGTGTGTGGGTATCTGCGATTGCGTGCCCCTCCCATCCACCCTCTCAATCAAATAAATTGATTGATTAAAAAAAAAACCAAGGGTGTGAAGCGACAGAGCTTTAGAAAAATAATAGCATCCTTTTTAAACCCGCAACAACAAAATCTGATGTAAATTACCCCTGGATCTGAAGATAACACAGTTTGTCTTTTGAATATTTAGCAACAACTTATTACAGCAAAAACATGCAAACAATTTTTTTATTTCATCATTTGCAATTGCCATTAAAGTAACAATATTTTTATGGGATAACATCAAACTAGTATCATCTGCAAAAAGTAAGTATGTAAATAAATTTGACGAATTGATAACATCGTTGATATAAATTAAAAATAACAGAGGACCAAGCACTGATCATTGTGGTACACCATACTGAATGACAGCAGTCTGGGATTTGACACCATTGACCACAACATATTGAGTTCGATGACATAGGTAATTTTTAAATCAAGTTAATGCTATTCCACGTACACCATAGTGCTCAAGCTTTCTTAGTGGTCAATGGTGCCAAATGCCTTCGACAAGTCAAGGAAAATTCCTAAGCAATATTTACCATCATCAAAGGATTTTGTAACTGAATTTAACAGATTAAAGACACCCATGCTAGAAGAGAAGCGTTTCCGAAAACCAAACTGCTGAGGAATTAAAACATCCTTTTTTAACAAGAACTCATTTAAACGCTTATAAACTAGTTTCTCTAAAATCTTAGAAAAAATTGGTAAAAGAGCTATAGGTCTATAATTGGAGATGTTCTTGTTATCATCCTTTTTATGCACAGGAACTACCTTGGCTACCTTAAGCTTGTCAGGAACTGCTCCCTGTGACAGTGATTTGTTAAAAATATCACACAAGGGCTCCACAAAACATGAATACATTCCTTAACAATCCCAGGGGCAATATCATCTGACCCACTTGACTTTGTTGACTTCAAGGTTGAAACAAACTTTTATATTTCAGAGATGGCAGTTGGTCTCAAGAACAAAGATGCATTGTCTATATTCGGCTCTAAGTACTCTTGAAAAGAGTTTTGGACTAAAGGAATTTCCCTGCTTATTTTAGCTGGCAACCCAATAAAATATTTATTAAAGTAGTCAGCCTTCTCCTTACTTGTAACCAATAAAGTATCTTCATGGAACATCTCTTGGGGATACATCATTAATATGTGACCATATTTTCTTTATATCTCTCTGAGCTTCCTGAAATAAATTTAAATAATATCTTTGTTTAGCTAGCCGAAGAGTAGTGACTAGAACATTTTTATAATCAATATACTTCTTTTTATTATTACTAGTCGGTCTTTTAATATAAGTACTATAAAGTTTGTGTTTACGATTTATTGACTTCATTAGGCCATTGGTAACCCATGATTTCTTAATACTTTTTTTTCTTAACAGCTATTTCAACAACAGGAAAACACCTGTCGTATAAACCAGAGAAAGCGTAGAAGAAGTGTTCGTATGAATCATTAGCATTATCCAACATGTACACATTCTGCCAATCAGTCACCATTAAGCGTTCTTTGAACTTCATGATTCTGTCATCTGTTATTAACCTCTTTAAAATGTTTCTATCATCTTTACGATTAACAAAATCACCCCTATTCACACAAAAAATACTGAGGCATGTGATCTGAAAGGTCGGAGCATATTATACCAGCATTAAGGTCATTCTGAATGCAGTTAGTGAAAATATTATCTATTAATGTAGCAGAATTATGCGAAATACGAGTTGGCTTTGTGATGAGTGAAAATAATCCATTTGAATTCAGTAAATCTACAACACTTTTCACTTTATCATCATTACTATAATTCAACAAGTTTAAATTGAAATCTCCCATTAAATAGGCATCTGCATTACCTCTGTTTAGTTTTTGTAGTCGTAAATCAAAACTTTCAATAAAAAAAGTACTATTACAATTTGGTGCTCTATACACACATCCAATAATTGTTTTCTTATTGTGACCATCCAATTCTACAAATATGGCTTCATAACCTGGCTCAATGCCTGACAAATCATGACGAAGTTTGAAGACTAATCCTTCCCTTATAAACAAGGCCACCCCACCACCATTCTCACCAGAACGACAAACATGAAGGAGAGAATACCCAAGGATTTGGAATGCCTTTAAATCAGAGGAAGGCTTAAACCAGGTTTCTGATATACCAATTATCGAGAAATTATTTTTAAGGCAGGACAAGAGCAATACCAGATCCTCAAAATTCTTGTTAAGGCTTCTTGCATTTACATGCAAAATATCAAAATGTCCTCCTGCATTACTGTGGAAATCAGCACAATCTATATAATTACAATCATTTACTAAAACATTAATATTTCTTTTCTTGAGGTATTTAATAAAGTTCAGATGAGCATTCAGGGTGTTAGGCATTTAATAACGGTCAGATGAGCATATTTTGATACTTTATTTGTGGCACTGGCAGGTCACTAATTGGAGTGAGGCCTAGGGGGCGACGCCCACAGAAGCTCAGGGGTTTTAGGCATTAAATTACGATCAGACTGATGAACATCTAGGGGTCGCCTTAGGTCCCTTGGTGGGGTCCAGGGGGTAGAGCCCCGGGAGCTCAGGGGGAAAAAAAGCCATTTTAGCAACATTTGTTTGAATTTTATGGGGGGGGGGGGGGGTGCTGACCCCATCAGTAAGCCAGTGAAAGGGGCTGAGGTGACGGAAGTGACTACCCCCATAGAGCTATATAATAAGTCTTATTATATAGCTCTATGCTACTCCCTTACAGGTTTGTTGTATTACAAAATTACATTCTTTAGCAAAACTATAGTATAAAACAAGCAATATACTTCTTTCACACTTCACTTTTACTTTGCGGATATAGTGTGCAGTCCGAAGGGTTGTACATATTTATTAGGTACATTTTGGTAAGTAGGCAGGGAGGGACTTTTTAAAGAGCAAGCTAAATATCAGATCTATTTCTATAACTGTTAATCTTGTAAACATACAGTGTAAACTGTGCTTACGTGATACCAACAAAATACATATTTCTACAATATTTACTCGTATATTTTGAAGGATATTATGCGAGGAAGCGTAGCGACCGTGCGAGAAGATTTTTGCATTTTTTAAAAGTCTAAACGCTGCACTCTTGGGCCCTCCAGAGCCTAAAAGTGTGTTTCAGTCTTTAGTCAGTATTTGCTATACTTTTTTTGCACTTTTTCGAATTTTCCGGGGGGATGTGTCCTCCCGTCCCACTGGGATCGCCGCCCCTGCCTCTAATTAATGTAGCTAATCGCAGCCGCTGCTAGCTACACGCCCGAGTATGTACAGCTCCAGCAATCCAAAAATATCACGAAGAGTATTGTTAGACTCTGTCTCCAGTCATTCGAACAGTATATTTGACTGAACTGGCTAAAACAGTTGTGTAAAAAAAAATATGCGCCCTCGGGTCACGTGCCCCCCCCCCTCTCCCCCTGTCCCAACCCCTTAGATACGGCACTGTGAGTTGGTGTTGCTAATAGATCGGCTTTAAAGTAAGATTTTGTGGGAATTGTGCCTATATCAATGTTTAGAAAATAATTCTAGCGACATCATATTTCTGCCAATATGAAGGATGAAATCGTCGTGTGCCCGGCAAAAGGGCGCGTACGCCTGTGCGCACGAAAAACCCAGTTTCGAGAAAAACGCATCTGAAGATTATGCTCCTTTTAGCAGCACATTCTTAAAGTAATAATAGTCTAAACATCATTTACCCTTTTACATTTCACACAATGATAAAATACCTCTTCAGGAATCATCAACTTAATTTAAAAAAAAAATAAATGATGGTTAACTTTTAAAGATATCAGCACTTGTTCTATTGACGCCTTTCTGCTGGGAGCAAATTTACGCTGAAGTGTAGTTTTTCTGCCCTATTGCCGGGAAGGAAAGCTACTTAAAATTATGATTGAAATTTGAAGAAAAAAAACAAGATTATGATAACGTAGCTTTAAATAAAATTAAACAATGCTGCTTGTTGCAATACGTTAATAAGTGGGATACTTATTGTTAATCTTAATCGTGATAAAAGGAAAAACAATGAATAACATAAGACAAGGTGATAAAAGGAAAAACAACCAGTAACGTAAGGAATAATAAGAAATAATTAAAAAAATTAAGTAGAGAATACAATCATTACCTTTATTCGCATCTGGTTCGGGTTTTGCTTGGGTATTTGATGCTGGAGGATTAACATGGACAAAGTGCACTTATTTACATGATCGCATTTATATCTCTTATTCATTCAAGTTTCAATGTTTTTTTTAATCTGTTTTCAAGACAATATCATGATTTTCGATCATAGTTTTATGTAGCTTGATATCTTTGATGGTAATTTTTAGGGAAAAGCAATTCTTAGCAACGATTTCTTAATTTTTAGCGACAATCGTTCGCCATTGCTGTACTTTGATATGCAGTAGCGAATTGAAATTTCAGGACCCATGATAAATTTGCTTTAGAAGTTTATTCCCCTGAGTTAGTTCTATTGTTTGGATTATTTGGCATAACGACGTTTTATTGTTTCTCTCTCTCTCTCTCTCTCTCTCTCTCTCTCTCACACACACACACACACACACACTCTTTCTCTCTCTCTCTCATCTCTCACCCTCCCTCCTCTCTCTTTCTCTCTTTCTATGTCTCTCCCTCTAATCCTCCCTCACCTCTCTCTCTCTATATATATATCTTCTGTATCCCTCTCATCTCTATCTCCCCCTTTCCCTCTTCTGTTTCCCTTCTCACCCCTCTTTATATATACAGGTCTCAAGTTCTGGAATTCTCTCGATTCTGTGATTAAAAGGTCTGTAAGTGTTCAGAAGAAAATTGTAATGTCATTATTTAAATACTTATTGTCATTCCTGATTCCTAACTCCTTTTGTCTCCAAGCAGTATACGTTTGTTGATTACAATGAGTAAATAACGGTATGGCCATGCCAACTATACTCAACTCATATTGAGAACAAACTACATTGTACTATTGTTTCAATAAGCTGCAGATATATTCCCTTCGTTTTCCCTTATCTTTTGTTGTTAGTTGTGATTGTGAGTATCGGTTCACCTAATCCTGTAATCTCACTTTCCATTTTTTAGAGTGTATCAAGTATTTGTATTTCACAAACTCAACTTTAGTTAATTATGTCATTTGTAGTTAAGGAGCCTATCCACAACAAGTTCTGCTTTTCGATCGGCTCCGCCACAATATCTCTTAACTTAAGTTCAACTGATGGACAATTTTCTGAATAGTGTGTACCGATATTGTATATACATGTATACAGGCGCGGATCCAGGATTTCTTAGGGGGGGGGGGTCACATTTGAAATTATGCGAGCCAAATATTGGTACGTAATGGTGACCAGCAGTGACGTAATGCAGGGGGATGTAGGGAGGGGCGAGTTTCTCCCTCCGTCCTCTGCAAAGCGCGGAAGCTATATATGACGTTTCATTAAAGTATTAGAGAAAGAAGACAATTCGTTGTACCGTTGTCGACTCTTCATCCTTGTCTAAATTCAGCCCCCCCCCCTCCGCGCAGCGCGGAAGCTTTGACGTTTCATTAAACTATTAGTGAAAGAAGACAATTCGTTGTATCGTTCTCGACTCTTAATCCTTGTCTTAATTCAGCACCCCCCTCCGCGAAGCGCGGAAGCTTTGAAGTTTCATTAAATTATTAGAGATAGAAGACGATTCGTTGTACCGTACTCTATACTCTTAATTCTTGTCTGAATTTCAAAGATGTTTTTTGTCTGCTCCTTTTTCTCCCTACGTCCTCTTCCTTTCCTCTCCTCTCTATTTTGATACCTTGTCCGACCCGGGAAGCTCAGGGGTTTTAGGCATTTGATTACGGTCAGATGAACATATTTTTATACCTTATTTGTTACACTGGCAGGACACTAATTGGCGTGAGGTCCAGCGGGCGAAGCCCCCAGAAAACAGGGGTTTTAGGTATTACATTTCCGTCAGATTAGCATCCAGGGGAGTCTAGGGCCCTAGGCGGGGTGCAAGGGATGGAACCCCGGAAGCTCAGGGGTTTTTAGGCGTTTAATTTCGGTCAGATGAGCAGCTAGTTAACTATTCTTTCTTTCTTGCTCTCTTTATTTCTATTTCTCTTTACTATACCTTTTCAAAATAGTGGAGGGGGGGGGGAGCTCGAGGCTTGCGATTCCAGCCGATCCCCGGCCCTAACTTTTCTCAAGAATCATATTTCTTGCCTGGCTGTTGTATTGAGACGTAGTTCAGATATATAAGACACGCGCATGCGTGGACTTTATTAAGTCATTCAATCCCGTAGGATACATACATGTATATCATAACATCCCTTTTTTTTCAAATTAAAATGTTAACTATTGAATGTACACTTATAGCCTTTTGCTAGATAAAAAACTTTCCTTTCTAATATGAAAATCTTAGAAAAACTCTTAAATGATTTTCTTTAAATAAAACTCAAATATTTGTTATTGTTGTAAAACTTATTAATTTCATACGATTTTGGAATGTGAGGTCAGGTTGATCATTTGCTGATCTTGTATAATATTGTTATCCAATTATTTGTACTTTCTGATACAACTTTGAGTAAATACGTGCACTTATTCAACTCAAAATTACACTCAAGTATAATCAGTTACTACTGTTTTCCTAAGCAATAATAATAAATTTCCACATTGTTTGTATAAAACACTTGTTACGTGTCTCTGACAAATGTTACGGTAATTTGAACTTATTGATTTATTTCAATGTCTAAATATGTAACAGACAATTAACAAATTGTCGCCTCGTTACTCGTATTCTGCTTAATTACGAATCAATGTCATTTCACTTTCATCTGCTATGATTACTATGAACTTGTATTTTACCACAATAAATGATGAGTACAGCTCTGGAACATGAATCAATGTAATGTCTTACTTTGTACTTTCTAACTCTAATAACTAACTCTATGATATTTACAAGTTTGTTCCCATCTCATCCTGTATGGAAAAAAGCATATACACGACTTAGTGTAGGTCCTTTGCTTTGCAGTTGAACATATCTATAAAATGTAGTAAACTTCTTACTAGTGAATTGAGATCCACATGGCAATAATAGATCAACATTTTACTCAAAGATCAAGAAAATATCACTTCCTGTATAACGTTCAAATAAACGTGATAATCGAATATGTCAGTTATAGGAGCATGAATATTTATCCACGGGCATGCAAATTAACGAGTAACATAGTCCTTCAGATAGTTTGGACGTTTGACCGTACGCCCTGAACGAGTTTTCGGCGCTAGTTCAATGTCATTTGATTGGCTTGCCTGAGGGGCAGGCCGCGCTTCAGTTTCATCAGGTGTTGCATTGTGGTCATTTGCGTGTTGAATTTCCGCGGTTTCGTTGCTGCTCGTGGTTGTTTCATCAGGAGGATTTTCAGGTGTTTGACGCAAGTGTACGCGATTGCGACGGTAGATGCCGGAGGGCGTTTCGACAACGTAGGAACGCTCATCCAAGCGTCGCTTCACGATTGCTCTTTCCCAGTTCTTTTGCCCCTGGACAAGAGGTTGCATTCGCACGGTATCACCATCCTGCAGTGGGGTCAAATCTTTTGCAGATTTGTTGTAGTTGTACGCTTGCTTTGCGATACGTAATTGCATCTTCTCACGTTCACGTATTACCCTTGGCTCGAGTAGACTCGCTGAAGTAGGCAAGAGCGTGCGTGTACGGCGATTCATAAGTCGTTGGGCCGGACTTGTATCCAGACCTTGCGAAGGTGTATTGCGGTGATCCAACAATGCAAGGTAAGTATCGGACCGCGACTTATCACTCTTCATGATGATGCGTTTTGCTGTTTTGACTGCGGATTCTGCCTTTCCATTGGCTCTGCTGTTACCGGGACTACTGCAGAGATGCTCGAAATCCCATTCACTTGCGAACTGCCGAAACACGGCTGATGTATACTGGGGCCCGTTGTCGCTAACGACTTGCGTAGGGCTTCCATATCTCGCGAAGTGTGCTTTGAGCTTTCGAATCACCAATTGGCTACTTGTGTTATCCAATCGGTCAACTTCAAAGAAGTTGCTGTAGTAATCGACGGTTACCATGTAATCTTTTCCCTTCAATGAGAAAAGATCTGTGCCTATTTTTTCCCATGGCCTTTGAGGCAGATCATGAGCCATCAGAGGCTCCTTCTGTTGCTTGACTTCGTATGATCGGCATACATCACATGTCGCGATAAACTGCTTGATTTCACTAGCCATACCAGGCCAAAAGATTGATTCGCGAGCACGTCGAAGACACCCTTCCATGCCCAGATGGGATGAGTGGATCTTTTCCTTCATCTCCCTGCGAAGGCTTATTGGAATTATCACCCGCTCTCCTTTGAAGATTAGACCATCATGAACTGCTAGTTCATCTCTGTAACCGAAATATGGTGTTAGCTCCTCAGGCAGAGTGTGCCGGTCATTCGGCCACCCGCTGACGATGACGCTCTTGAGCTTCTGAAGTACTTGATCTGCAGCGGTCTGCTCACGAATTTGCTGAAGGCGCTCATCTCGGATAGGTAAATGTGCTACCATATTCACTTCTTCAAAGAAATTCACTTCGCTTGGATCACCACCAACTGCCCGCGACAAGGTATCTGCGAGATACATGAGCTTTCCTTGTTGATAGCTGATATCAAAATGATATTTTTGAAGACGGAGGAGCATCCCCTGAAGGCGTTTCGGAGCCTTCACCAGCGGCTTCTTTATGATCATTTCAAGCGGCTTGTGGTCGCTCACAACGCTAGTAAATCGACCAAACGTGTATTGATGAAAACGCTCCATTGAAAACACTACAGCTAGCATTTCCTTCTCAATTGAGGCGTACCGCGATTCTGTGTCGGTCAAGGATCTACTGGCATACGCTATGGGGCGTCCATTCTGCAGAAGTGCTGCTCCCAAACCCTTGTTGCTTGCGTCGCATTGGATGGTTAGCTCTTCCTTAGGGTTGTAGTAGGCCAAGAGTGGTGCTTCTGAAACCATTCTTTTGATCTTTGACATTGCGTTGGCTTGCTCTGTAGACCATTCCCATGCTATGTCTGGGCGTGTCAGCTGTCTGATGGGTTCTAGCGTATCGGACAGACTGGGCAAGAATCTGCTTAGGTAGTTCACAAATCCCACTAACCTCTGCACGCCTTGTACGTCAGAGGGATTTGGCATTTTGAGGACATCAGCAACCTTCTTTGGATCAGGCTGTAGTCCTGCACTTGTGACGACATGTCCTAGGAAAGGAATCTCAGTTGCTCTGAACACGGACTTCTCCTTGTTGAGCTTGATGTGTTGTTCAACACATCGCTGGAACAATTGCTCAAGCTTCGAGTCGTGGTCGATGATTGCTTCTTCCATCGTTGTCCCTTTCCCATACACAAGGATATCGTCTGCTACGCAAATCACCCCTGGCAGTCCTTCAAGTGCTTGATGCAATCTTTGCTGGAAGATTTCTGATGAGGCACTTGTACCGAATGGTAAACGGCGCCATCGGTAGCGGCCAAAGGGCGTGTTGAATGTCGTCAGGTGGCTTGAGGGCTCATCAAGTTTCACTTGCCAGAATGCAGAACTCATATCAAGCTTGCTGAAGATCTTTGCTTGGTTGAGATCTGGCAAGATATCCTCAACTATAGGTAGAGGGTAGTGCTCGCGTTTGAGTGCCTTGTTCAGTGGCCGTGGATCAATGCATATCCTAAGGTCACCATTCTTTTTCTCAGCCACCACTAGTTGGCTGACCCAACTCGTCGGTTTTGTCACCTTCGCGATCACTTCACGGTCAACCATGCGATCCAACTCTGCTTTC